AATTAATAAAAATATTCACATTTTTTTATTCTCTGAATTTTATTAAAAATATTAATTTATTAGTTAACAATATTAATAATTAGTAATTAAAAGAAAACAAAATAAAAATAAGAAGAAAAGAAGTAATTAACCAGGGGGGTTTGATGACCCAAAGGGAGGTTTACTTTGCAGATTTTAGGCCCAACAACACAAAGCCCTTATTGACTTTCTGGATTGGCTATGCACGCTTTGACTGGAGAACATGGTAGTCAACCATCCCTGGCCTTTGGATTGAGCTTCATGGCCACTTGGCATGTTGGATGAGTGAGGTTTATGGTGGAATTATGGACAAGCGCCGCATGGGAATTTGTTAGAAAAAATAATATTGAGATTTGCGTGGACCTGGGAATCGAACCCAGGTCCCAGTAGTTACCAAGCACGTCATCAACCACCAAGCCACTTTGCACGCTTTGTTCATATGATGGATAGAGACAATAATATACAAAAACATCAATTATGGTTGGAAATAAAAAAAAAGCGCGCGTTTGTTTGAACCAGCCAGTCACGCTCTTCCACGTATTGTCTTCTTCATGAACCCTGAAACAAAAACAATCAAATAGCGGAGGTTTTAAACCCCCACAAAGTGAAACTGCCAAGAATAACGATTAGGCGTACAATGCATATAAAAAGGGTGCGATGGTTGGGTTGAATTCGTCTGGCCTTGACGAATTCAACCATAGGCGTTATGTGGTCCAATTTTTCTCATGCTGTAAAGCCCCAATTGAGAGCTTCGAAAACCCTAGATTTCTTCAATGGTGTCTTTTGATTCATGGCTCTATAACTCAATTCACCTATACCATCAGCTTCAGAAAGGTCATAGCAATGCAAAACAACAATTATATCATGTTAAATATGCAAGAATTATGAGTTTCGATTCTAGAAGAATTATGCAAACCGTGTGACTGAAGTGAGTGATTCTTTGAGTGTTAGAGCCTGTTCTTGATTGCAAATCGTCTCTGAATGTCCCAGCAAGGTATTGGAATCAAGAAAGGGCTTTGAAATGGCCTGGAAGGTTGAATTCAGTTTTCAACTTTTCTTCAATTTTTGGAATTTGGTTATGGTGTTTACAGCAGCTTGCACGTGAATGATTTTAGGTTTAGCTTCAGTACATATAGTAGAATGAAAACTAGGGCAAATCTTGGTCAAAGATCCATTGTATTGAAGATTGTATATTTGATTTTCAATCAAATCTTTTAGCATCCTTTTGATTGAGAAACCTTGCCAATTATGGAGATTTTGATGTCCTTGATGTGTACACGAATTTCCAGCTTGCCCTAAGTGTATTTGCATCACAAAAAGATTTGAAACCATATCTTTTGAATTTTCCTACAATTAAAATCAATTAAATGAATTAATATCAATTAAAAATACAAATAATTAATAAAAATAAGAAAATAATTCAATTTAAGTTCAATGGGTCGTGCATAGGCCTTGGGCAATGTTTCAAGAAAGAATTTGAGGCCCATTAGCAAAAATGAAGTGTTTTTGGCAAAGTTGACTTTTGCAAATTCCCAAAAATTTCCCAACTTCTCCAATGCATATATTGCTAAATTTTGAAGCTATGAACATGTTCTTGGACATTTTGGAAAGTTTTTGAAGTCCTCTAACCAATTCCTTTGGTCCCATGACATTTTGATTCACCAATCTCAAGTTATGGTCTTTGACTTAAAGGCCTTTTTTGTTGACTTTTGAAATTGACCTATAATGTAGAAATTGATAACTTTTTGTGAGGGAATTTCTTGGACTTGGAATGTGAAGATGAGTTGTAGGAAATGTCATCCCCTTCAAAATGAGCATTGGATGGGATTTTTCTGATGAACCATGCAAAAGTTATGCCTTGGTCAAGTTACAGTTGACTTTTCAACTGTCCAAAAATAGAAACTTTTGGCCTCTTGATGATTTTTGAGACATACTTGTGGAATCATGATCAAGAATTGATCAAATGATGATTGTGGCTTCAAAGTAAGATGTTGACCAAGAATTTTGACTTTTGACTGCCAAATGACCATTTTACCCCTGCAATTGACTGTGGAGCAATTAGGGCTTTTGACTGTGCAACTTGGTGCTGTGAGACTTGCAACTTGGCATGTAAGTGCTTGACAATGTATATGGGCATATGTGACTTGATTGAGCCCTTGAAAACCTCAACTTCCTTGCAAGAACCAAAACCCTAATTTTGACTGGCTTAGGAGAATGTTTGACTGTGCAACCCCTTGATCCATTTGAAGATTGATCTTGACAAATCTTGAAGAATATGGGAGGGCAAATTTTGGGGTACAACAGCTTCCTAGTCCACTGGAAAGGTAACTTATGGACCAACTTGTTCTAGTGCTCTCCCTGCTCGTTCAGGTTGGGAACCCCTTCCTCGTCATACATCAGGGTGAACCGAAAAACATTTAGCATGGCCCTTCCCAAGACAGGCTGCACGAGCATGTACTTGTCCTTAAAAAATCTTACAGACTCCAGATAAGCTTTGAACAACTTCTCGTTGGCCTAATTCAAAGCGAACCATTCATGTAGGTCGTTAACCTTGCTCCCCTGAAGATGGAAGCAGTATAAGAACAAAATAATGGTGGCCCTTATCTTTAGGTAGTCACACACTATCTCGAACGCTCGTGTGAAGGAAATCCCATTCGAGTTAAACTGAAAGGGAGCCAGTCGAAGGTGCCAGAAAATGGCCACCTGAAAGTATGAAAAGGGCAGACGAAGGCCCATCTCCCAAAACAGGATATCAAACATTGGGATCCGCTGCTTATCATACCGCGAGCAGACCTGACTACTCTTTTTAGGAATCCATACCGACCAGTCCTCTTGGTCGTCGTTGCCTCCCACATACGAGTCCACCACAGTGAAAACGTCGGTCAGACTCTTGACAAAATAGGACTCATGATCCCATGGGTCGGCTACCGCCCAAGTCCTCAGATCATCATCGTCCTTACGAGTAAATAGGCTGCCCTGGTTAGTAGGGGACATCTCAACATCCTCCTCTACAACATATTGGTCGGACCGATTCGATTCGGGCCCTGACGCCCTCGAGGAGATCGACCTCTATGGGTCTACTCCTTGGAACTATGAGAAGATTCGACGAGCTCTCCCATGAGGTCTTCTTCAATATTATCATCCATAGTACCTTAAAAGCAGAGGAAAAAGGTGAGTTTGACATCAATGTCAAAACCACCCTTCCACCACTGATCAAGTGAAAGGGCGCTGATAAACGAGGACCCTATCCCCGACTAGAGCCCTCAATTATGCATATAAACAGACGATCTTTTCCACTGATAGAACGAGCCAAAGTTAACAAAACAATCTAAGTCACCAACGAAGATCATCTACAGTACGCCGTGAACGATTCCAGACTCACCTAGGAAGGATCTACGGGTGCTCCGACGATTCTAACCCACAGAACCATCGCCTGTCACCAACACTCCCCAAGAGTATCTTAAAAAACAGTACCCTAAACCTAACCGCATGCATTTCTAAGAAGAAATCTTCAAACTCTAGGCTGTAACAAAGGATAAATTAGCTAAATACAAGAGAAATCTGAAAGCTTACCATTTAAAAGAAGCAAGAAACTTCGTTGGTCGATAGACGACCAACAACGAGCACGAAGTTTGAAGAAGCGAAAAATAAGAAATGCACTACTCCTCTCCTATTTAAATCTGAACTCGTCCGTGAGTAAGAAGCACGTGCCTAGGGAGACGTAGGGTCGTCATCATTGCACCCTGTAGCGGTGAAAATCAGAGATCAAACTATTAATTACTTGATTCGCCAAAAGCAAGAGTTGCCACCGCGCTTTATTATTTCCAAGGGAAAAGGGAAAAGTGAGAAATAAAACCCATAAATATGCAAAGTAAGTGCAATACTAAAGGAAAAGAAAAATACAATGCATTTGAAAGAGATCGAAGGTTTGGGGGTATGTTATACAAAGGGAAGGTACTAGCATCCTATGTATATGTAGTATCTTATAGGAAGTTTTTGAAATATCTGTTTTTTTTGTTAAAATTGGTTTGCTTGCTAACTGAGTGTGGGTATGAGATTTTAAAAATGCGACGACCTAGTGTCGAAGTTTTTGGCTTAAAAGAGGTGTGAGTTTCTTTAAACTTAGGCTTTAGAAGAGATTTTTATTTAGATTAATAAAACTAAAAACTAATGTACAAAGGGGTTTTCGCACAATCATATTAAATATATATTTGATGACATAAAGTCAATGAATTCGATTTTTCCTTTGGAGTTGGTCACAAACAAAATATAAAGACTAAATGATCGACAAAGGGAAATTAAATAAATAGAAATTAAATAACTAAATAATTAACAACCGAAAATTAAATAAAATAAAGAAAGACAAAGTTATACTAATATATATTTTTGGTATTTTTTTAAAGAGGGAGAGAAAGAAATAATTATAAACCTAATCTGATCTTTTTTTTTGTATTTTTTGTATGGATTTTTAAATGAAATAAGGAAAAAGACTTAAAAATTAGAAATAAAAAATAAAGTGCAATAGCCAGGACTTGAACTCAAATTCTATGGGTTATAACCAAGTTGCCTTACCACTTAACCCTATTTATTTTTCTGAGATATAGACACCTTAATTAAAATAAAAAGAGTTTGAGTTAAAAGGGGATAAAAAGAAAAATAATGATAAAATGTCCCCAATGGGTCTCAAACTCGGGACTTCACGCATGCAGAACTAACACCTTAACCACTTCACCAAGTTGTTCATTCGTTGCACTTATTTCTTCAAATGATATAAGAGAAAAATAATAAAATAGAGTTGGGCTAAAAATGGACCAAAACCGACTCAGTTTGGGAAAGGGAAAGGAAGGGTTTTGAAAATCGTAATTGGTCAAAAGTGGAGCAGCTGGCTTGTGTTGGGAAGCGAAAAGTCAAAAATGAATTTTTTTTAATTCCCAATTAACTTAATTAAAATAAAAAAATGTTATCCATTTTTCTCTCAAATCTCACGATCCTCCTCTCTGCCTCTGCTCTTTCTCACACGATTTTTCTGTTCCAAAATCAACAAAAATCTGAAGAATAACAATCGTATTCTCTCTGATCATGCCTTCTTTCATGTTCACGCTAGAATCTTCTGATTTCTCCTTTCTTAACACGAAGAACAACACAATCGATTTTGATTCTGCGTCACCTTTCTTACACTGTTCCATGGTGAATCAACAACAATAATCTCTGGTTTCGGTTGTTACTCCCTCAAACTCACGGTTCTCTTCTTCAACTTTATCACCTTGTTCCATCATCTTCATGAATGTAGATACACGATTACAATTATTATTATAGCGCATCAGCATCCACATATTCTTCATAGAGTTAACACTGAAACTTTAACAAGCCTTAAAGCATCGATCAACATCACCACAATTCATCACCTTCAATCAACAGAGCTATTGAAGCCTCTTCCCTGAGTTTATGTTTGTGAAAATCTACAAACATTTTCGTAGCTTTGAAGAGTGACAGATATTTTAGATGTGAGATGAAGGTCACGACGGCAGACATAGTTGTTAGGAGGGAGGCGAGATTCATTTGGAAAACCCGGAGTTTCACAATGGTAACCCTATTTTTGTACTTCTCAAATGCACTGTATCCTTCATTTGTATAATTTTTGTTTTTTCAATGTAATCTTCATATTTTTCTGGTTTATAAATGTGAGTAACAAAAGCAGCTCGAGTTTTAACTTAGTTTAACCTTTTCTACTTCTATCGCAGGAAAAGACAGAGTAATGAAAGTGAACTAATGCAGATAGGAATAACAAACAATATGCAGCAACCGTCAAGTTATGTTAATGAATACATACATATATGTAAGTTTTCATGCCAAAGGGTGGAAGAAACATTACTTATCCGATACTCTCCGGTGGAGCTTCAAAAGACAGTAAGTTCACACTCCTTTGTTGCTTCTTCTCCTCTTTCTCTCTTTTCCTAAATATTTATGTTGTAATTCCTCTCCCTCTTGTGTTGAACAAACCTGCCCTTTTATAGAGGAGATGAAGTTTTTTAGGGGGTAATATGAATGATATTTGGACATGTTTGGTATGATGACTTAATGCTTTTTGATGCATCTTTTAGTGTATGCAATTTTAGTGCAACTTTTGTACTGATGTGCTTGGTTTATAGCAGGGCAGCATCAGAGTTTTTTGGACATTTTGTTTGTTTTGTTGTTGCAGGTCTTGTTTAATACAAGGCTGGCTGCTTAAACATTTTTATGGAGGATAGCAGTAAGTCATGGCAACAGGCTTTGGGAGCATGGACATTAGATTTGGACTATTTTTTCTTTCTTGGTGCAAATATGTTTTTAGTATTTTTAGTGTAAGTTAGGAGCAGGTTTTTTGTTAGCATAAAAGACTGTTTTGGCAGCATAATAACAGTAGCATAGGCTGGTCTTGCGGCTAGATTTTTGGCATGTTGTAGTAGCTTGGTGTAGGGATGACTTTGCAGGTTATAGGCAGCAAATTTGGACTGGTGTGGCAGCAAGTTTATCTTGGAGCAAGGGAAGATTTGGATGGAGACAACACTTGAAGAGAGCTTAGGATTAGGTTTAAGGCAAAAGTTCTTGATAGGTTTAAGTCTTGTCTATTTTGTGTAAGTTTTATGTAAACAATAAAGTTGTAATGGTGATGATTTGAAATTGATCAAATAAATTGGATGGTTCATGTAGCATTGTAAATCTTTGTGATTCTTTAAAATTCAAACTTTAAATATCAAAGGAAAACTTCTAATACTCGAATTTGATTCTAATTAGAATGTGTGTTGAAAATTGTCCTTGAATTTGAACTTTGAGAGAAGTCTTGGATAATGATTGACATTTCGAAAAAAATTTATGAACATGCACTCGTGAAATAATCCTCGAGAAATTGGAATGCATCTTACTCAAAACTTCAAATTCGTAAACCTTCTTGAATCACTCTTGCAATTAAGAACCCTAATGTTACTTGACGAAATTGGATATTTTGACTTTATGGCATTGGTTACTTTAAAGAAAACTTCACAATAATGAATCCATTATTGATTCAAATCTCAAATCCAAGTCAACTTGCAAACAACAAGAATTTTAAGAATCCTCAACCTTCTTTGTTAAAACCCTAAATCACGTCTTCACCTCATAGTAATTTGCAATACAAACAAATTGCGCTTGAAATAAAAATAAGGCCTTGAGAAATCCATTTTCATTCAATGATCACCAAATGCTCAGACACGAGTGATTTGAATTACGAATAACAAAATGATCAATGAATTTCTCAAACTCCACTTCTTGTTTTCATGAATAATCTTCACGTAAGGATCAAGTGTCTTGAGAAAATAATCATGACATGGATTGAACCTATGAGTTAAGAGAATTATAAGTCAAGAAATGAATTATGATAATTCAATAACTTTCAAGGTATTCTAAGAATAATTTTTCCTCTATCATTTGAAGAAAAGTCGTTGACGACATCATCTATGACAGTGTGCAAAAAGAGCCGTCCAAAAATCTTGAAAATTGAAAGAGTTATGATCCTTGAAAGTTGGGCGACAGTTAGTTGAGGTTAGGTCAAATCCGCAAAATGACCTCTAAAGTATTTAAATTTCCGATGATCCTCCGCGTATAATCAGGTCTTGACTTGTAAAGAAGAGTTAGAGATGTCGTCAAGGAGAGTTATACGTAAAAAAGACCACTCTAAAATATTGAATAACGTAGAAGTTATGATCGTTTGAACTTGATCTTGTAAACAATTGACTTTTGGTCGAAGTGCTTTGAATTGACTTGCAAACATGATCTTTCCTTGCATTCCAGGGCATATTGATGTATAGGTGAACCATTGATGATGAAGTCTTCACTGTGCTTTTGGTTAAAAGCCAAACTTTGATGAAGTAGTCTTTGATAATTGATGATTCACCATACTTGAACAGTTGAGGGATCCAAAACCCTAATTGAGGAGAAAAACCTGATACTCTTGATTCAGACCTATCTCTGCACATAAAACCAAAGAAACACAAACATACACCTTTGTATGGGATTAGATGTTAGTGATGCATAAGATAAAATGTTCACAATAATTGATAATCTCTATATAATCAATGCTCGAAGGTGAGCGGAGTAAGAAAAACCAACTGTATCTCATGGCCTTGATGATATGTGAGAATGCAAATGAATATGGGATCTTAGGTAAAAAATTAGGGTATAACAACTGCCCCTATTTAAGTTTCTTCTATTCGGAGATACGAAGATTGAAATCTTTGTTTCAACGACATTGAATATACTTAAATATAGAATACTAAATTTTTGGTCCTAAGATACCACTATGATGTTTATGATATGAATACAATGATCTGAATTTTTTTTTTGGGGAATGACGCCACATGAGATAAACTACTGTTGGAGAAACCAAGCACATGATGAAGTAATCCCACAGGGGAAGTGATTATAATTCCACTGGGTAATAGAGTCTCAAACTTCGAATGAGAGACTCTTATTGGGGAACAACTTCGAGAGAAGAAAAAAATTACTAACTTTATCAGGGAAGATGCCTTGTATAGGTTGTGAAAAGATAAATGGATACTGACTCAAGATGATGGTAAATTTCCAACTCAGTGTCAAAGGTAGAAAATCAAAGAGATACAGACTCACAGATGACGGTAAAATACCAACTCAATAGTTAAAGATAGAAAAGTAAGAGATACTGACTCACATATGACGGTAAACTACCAACTCAATAGATGAAGGTAGAAAATTAAGAGATACCGACTCACAAATGACGATAAACTACCAACTCAATAATTTATAGTAGAAAAGCAAGAGATATCGACTCACAGATGACGGTAAACCACCAACTCAATAGTTGAAGGTAGAAAAATAAGAGATACCGACTCACATATGATAGTAAACTACCAACTCAATAGTTAAAGGTAGGGTCAAAAAACATACCTACTCACAGATGACGGTAAACTACCAACTCAATGGTCGAAAGTAGAAAAGCGAGAGATACCGACTCATAGATGACGGTAAACTACCAACTCAATAGATGAAGGTAGAAAAGCAAGAGATACAGACTCACATATGACGGTAAACTACCAACTCAATAGTTGAAGGTAGAAAAGTAAGAGATACTGACTCACAGATGACGGTAAACCACCAACTCAATAGTTGAATGTAGAAAAGCAAGAGATACCGACTCACAGGTTATGGTAAACCACCAACTCAATAGATGAAGGTAGAAAATATAACAAACATTTCCACGACGAACGGTTTCTAGTTCCTTATTTATCAAGTCTTCCACTTGAAAAGGATAATATACAAACTTCTCTGCAGGACTTTGCCGGAGAGATACCATTTTTTGTTGACAAGAAAACTTCCACAAAGAGATACCATTTGTTGTTGATGAGCAAAATTCTCAAAAGATATACCATTTGTTATATAAACCTCCCTAAGAACCTGGTCATAAGCCACAAACTGGTCTCAGTTTCTTTTTAATCAAGTCTTCCACCTGATAAGGATAACATACAAACTTTTCCATGAGACTTTTTTGAAGAGATTCCGTTTACTGAGTAAACCTCCCCAAGGACCTAGTCATAAGCCATAAACTAGTCTCAATTTCTTCTTAATCAAGTCTTCCACCTGATAAGGATAGTATACAAACTCCCCCATGGGACTTTTCTGAAGAGATGCCATTTGCTGAGTAAGCCTCCCCAAGAACCAGGTCATAAGCCACGAGCTGGTCTCTGTTTCTTCTTAATCAAGTCTTCCGCCTGATAAGGTTAATATACAAACTTCCCCACGTGACTTTTCCGAAGAGATTCTATTTTTTGAAAAATTAGAGTTGATATGTTGGATATAGACAAACTTCTCATGAAGAGACCGACATTTAACATAAGGTAAATGTATGCTAGAAATACACAAGGTGCTCAAATAAAGAGGCCGCCACTTGCTGCCAGGCAAAAGATTTCAATATAGTGTTATAAAGACACTATTGGGAATGAGAATCAATAACTTCATCGAGGATAGACAAACTGCTCATGAAGAGACCAACATTTTCTATAAAAGAAAAAATCTATGAATAATCAAGCCGCTGAAATAAAGAGTCTGCCACTTGTTATCAGGTTGAGATTCCAATAGAGTGTTGTAAATATATTGTCGGAAATGAGAGTCAAAAACTTCACCAGGGATAGACAAACTG